GAGTGAAGAAGGAATAGTGAGGTGCCATCAGAGCTGCTATTTGGGTTGATCGCAGACCAGCCACCAGAGCTCATTTGAGTTAGAGGTAAGCTTTTATTTGCCGACTTAACTTCTAGAATTAATTGTTGCTTAGAAAATGTTTGTCAATTAAAGAAAAATTGGGAACTTGAAACAATATTACCAAAGGGTTGAAACCCTAATGCGCGAATTTCTGTGGAATTTGCTAAATGCTACTGTAAATGGTTGATTGTTAGTTGGTTTTGTGGAAGTTTTCTTGAGTTAATTTTACTTTTGTCAATGGCCAGAACCCTAAGGAGATTGGTCACTGTGCATATGAATTTATCTTGATTAATGAGTTAATTTTATCCACAGAAATTTTTTTTTGTTTCTTTCTTGGATCGTTTTAGTTTTTAATGTTAGGAAATTTAGGTAAATTGGCATTTGGCAGGAGGTAGATATGCTGCAAAAACATGGGTTAATTGATCTTAAATTGTCCAAGTGATGAAATGTTTCTACCCAGTACTTTCGGATGGCTTATGTTGTAGGTATATGTATACATTCCACAGATTATATATTACTTGTTAGGGAATAGTTTTAAAATTGTAAGAGTAATTGAAAATCTTGTATTCTTGTATGGCTGACCATCATCAACTAAGGATGTTTTATTAAAGTTGTAATAGTAATTGTAGTATAAAAATTGCAATCTTGTTGACACTTAAGAATTTGCCCAATTTGACACTTAAAAAACCTTTGACAGTTCTTTAGAAGAACCTTTGACTCACTCCCTAGAAAACTGTCAAGAAAATGTAAAGTGGCACTGGACATTTGACGAGTTGCTCAAGATTAAAAGGCAATGCTGAAGGAGTTGGTAAGCTAAATGCACTTGATTTTGGGTAGTTTTTGTGGTGATATGCTGGTAGTAATGAATGTTTGTAGTGGTTGTATGGCTGACACAAGTGTGTATATATATATTTACTTTTTGGGTAAATTGTAGGTACGACAATTAGTCTTCCTGAGGTATCTTCTATCCCACAATTATTCGCTATAGATTTATCTACTCCATTCACGCTGGATACCCCTATCTTTATAAGTAATGATACAACACCAACAGCTGGAGTTCAAGCAATTGCTCCTAACTCAACAACCGGGTCTGTGCCACCTGAAGAGGAAGAAGAAGAACCAGCTGCCCAAAAAAGAGGAGATACACGAGAGGTGATTGAAGCTGAAGATGAATTCCACATTCCTAAAAGAAGTAAAACATCTGAGGCTTGGGATGATTTTGATGAAGTTGAGGAAAATGGATTGTACTACACTATTTGCAAGTATTGCAGGAAAAAATTGTCAAGAGGTAGGACAAAACAAACAAGTAGGATGTGGAGACATCAAAATAGATGTTCAGCCCAAAAAGTAAGCATTAGAAGGCAAAGTAGCAAAACAAACTGAATTTCCAGCCAACTGATAAAACTTTTTCAACTTTGCCACTCCTAAGCGGAAAGTTTGACATGGAGAAAGTTAGATATGTTGTTGCACATGGGGTGCTAATGCACAAGCATCTGTTCACCATATTAGAAGAAGAGGGTTTCAATCTTATGATGAAACGAGCGATGCCAGAGTGGAAGAGAATCTCTTGAGCAATAGCAAAAAATGATTGTATACAAGTATATGAGGTTGAAAAAAATAAGATGAGAAACAAGTTAAAACATGTGGAAAAAGTTAGCATCACAATCGATCTTTGGAAGCCAAAAAATCAAAAGATCGAATACATAGTCATCACCGGGCATTGGGTTGACTATAATTGGAAACTACAAAAGCGAGTTCTGAGTTTTGTGCACATACCACCACCTCATTGAGGAGTTGAGATAGCATCTTCAATTTTCAAAAGTGCGAAAGAGTGGGGCATTGTGTACAAGATTTACTCCATATCAGTTGACAATGCCTTGAACAATGATGTTGCTGTTAGAATATTACCGGATGACATCTCCAGGTCCAAAAAGCTTCCTTGTGATGGAAAATTCTTCCATGTTCGATGCTGTGCACATATTTTGAACCTTGTGATTCAAGATGGCATTTCTGAGATTGTGGACATCACCAAAGCCATTAGGGACTCCATGGAATTTGTGAATCGATTAGAGGGTTGAGCGTTGATGTTTGCTAAGATTACCTAACAACTCTAGATACAAGGAAAAATGTTGCTTTACGATTGCAAGACAACATGGAATGCCACTTTCAAGGTGCTGAATTGTGCCATCAAATTTAAGGATGTTTTTCCCTATTTCCAAGATAGAGAGCAAAGTTACGATTTTTGCCCATTTGCTGAGGATTGGCAAAGGGCAGAAAAGGTTTGTTCAGTCTTGGAAAAATTTTGGGAGTGCACACATATAATTTTTGGCTCAGATTATCCTACCAGCAATTTTTTCCTTCAAGAGTTGGTAAAGATAAAAAAAGTGTTGGATGCTCAAGTTAATGAAGAAGACCCCTTCATTTAGGTCATGGCTCGAAAGATGAAAGTTAAGTTTGACAAGTATTGGGGTGAATGTAATTTGATAGGCTGTGGCAGCCATTTTAGATCCGAGACAGAAAATGAGACTTGTAGACTTCACCTACCCTCAATTGTATTCACCTTCAGAGGCTCCTCATAACATTTCCACCATTCGTCAAGTAATCTTTGAGTTATATGATGAGTATGTTGCTTTAGCATCGAATCCAACTAGAGGGCCAATAGCTTCTGGCTCTTCACAAAGGCAAGTAACAAATGTGACCAAGAAGACTAGATGGGGTGACTTTGATCAATATTGTGATGAAGTCGAGACCAACGAACCCTATAAGCCAAAATTGGTTGATTATTTAGACAAGCCTCACCAAAAAACTGGAGAAGATCTCGATAAATTTGATTGTTTGGAGTGGTGGAAAATTAATCGAATCCCATACCCAGTACTTTCTTGAATGGCCTATGATATCTTGGCCATTCCGATAACTACAGTTGCATCGAAGGGCACATTAAGTGTTGGGACTCGAATAATTGACACCTATTGAGCTGCACTTCGCTCAAATATAGTTCAAGTGTTGATGTGTCCAGGAGATTGGTGTAAGAATCTTCACGGGGTCAAAAAGAAGATGAAGGTCAACTTTATTGTTTTACTACCAAACTTCCATATTTGAGTTATTGACTATAAGTTACTTTATTTTTTTTGGGAAATTGTGCAACTTTTTTGTGTTTTGTCCCCTTTCCTTTTTGTAGGAAGCCAAGACAATCAAAGAATTCGACTTGCCCAAGCTTTGAAGATTTATGCTGCTGTTCATTTCTTCAACCTAAATTAGCTCATAATTTGGAACTTGTTAATTTATAAGACATGTATTTATTATATATTGTGGAGTATATTTATATTTTGGAGTTTCTACCTTTCATTTATAGTTTGAATGACTATTAACGGGAATGTGTGAACAGGATGTTCTTCCAGTTTTTTGAGCCAAGAAGCTCGATTGATTAGATTACTTGACTCAAAGGCTCGATCTCGACTCGATATCTCGACTCGAGCCTTATCAAGTCGAGTCTCGAGCTTTTTAAGCATTTCCTTGAGTCAAGTTCGAGTCCATATTTTCCGACTCGATCGAGTTTGAGCTCAAGTCAAGTATGGTAATATTATAGTACGAGTCAAGCTCGAACATGGCAGTACTCGAGCTCGAGCACATCCCTACATCCTTATACCAAGTAGATAATATCATAGCCATTTCATACTTTGAATCTAGAAATTACAAAGTTATATCCACTAGGAACTTATGATGGCTTTCAAAACTTTCATTTAATTTAGAAATTTAGCTATTTTACATTTAATAGTAAACCAGGCCAAAAGAACTTTTCACATGAAGACCTGGATCTTCGTTCGCTTTAGATTTATAAAAGCTAGTTATTGTAAGTAGGGGCGGAGGCAAATGGAATTGAGGGTAGGCAATTTACCCTCCCCTTCAACTTTGAGAAAATTTTGTTTCAAGTATGGAACTTTTAAAAATTTTCAAGTTGCTCCTTTGTTTGCACCTCCTGAAACATTTGAAATTCTCATGCCTATCGACCTTGCACCCCCAATATTTTTGAAATTATCATTCTTATCTATATTATATTATTATTTCCTTTAAAAAAATTTTTATGTCTCTTTCTTATTTACATTGGCCTTCCTTAATGAATTAAAAATTCTGAATTCTTATGCTATACAAGAGTGTTGGATCTGATTAAGATTAGTTATTGATGTAAATTGAACGATGAGACATTTGACGTTTTCAAATTAACACTACATTATAGCACAACTTTTAGATGTCAAATTATAATTGACATAACGGAAAAAGATATGTTTAAGATAACCGCCTTTTGGTTGTAAATTTTCCATGATTATATATGATGTAGTGTTGAAAATTGAACCCCCTAACCCTAGGGTCTTAGCTTCGCCATGGATAAAAAATGATTATGGTGCATAATCAGAGTCAGCATGCAAAAAAACTAATTTTTGGTAAATTATAGAATTTAGTTTTCATTATTTTAAAAATCTATAATCTTAAAAAAAATTGAGAACAAGCACGAAGCAAGGTAATGTTGTTGTTATTGAATGAAGTTTTAGAAATACTTAATAGACAAGCTATTGGAGTAATAGTTATTACCATCCCAACTGAAAGATATAGAAACATCAAGGATCCTACAACCAACCTACTTAGGAAGCAACAACTAGTCTTTTGGTAAAGGAAAACTAGTTAGAGGGGTAAAACCTAACCTCTATATCAGACAAATATAATTTTTTGTACTCCATAAACACAAGAATTTAATAGGCATTTGAACTTCAATATAAGGGGGTTTGTCAAAATACAATCCAATTTGAAAAAAGGTAATTTACTTCAAAAACTTGACTCTAGAAGATATATTGTTTGCTCATAAGTTCTGAGACCTTAATGAATATAGTCTCTCCATAAGATAGTTGTATTACATAACCGAATTTACAGCTATATACATGTAATGCATGTTGAAGATTGAGATTCAGAGAGTACAACAACAATGGATAGCAGAAGCAATCAACGAAGGAATTAGCATGTGGAACCCAAAATTTAATGTCGAGGATGATGGAGATAGAATTAGCAATCTACCAGAAAGTGTTCTGTGCCACATACTATCCCTTCTTCAAGCCAAGGATGCCGTACGAACCTGTGTTCTAAGCAAAGCTTGGGAATACAAGTGGATAATTTGCCTATACAATCTCAAGTTTGATGATAGTTTAAGCTATACAAATCAGCAAACTAAAAAGAAACTTTTCGCAAATTTTGTTGATAGAACTCTAGCACATTGCACAATGTCTATGGCAAAAGAATTTGAGCTATTATGCAAATTATCTTCCTACGATCCATCTCGTGTGAAATTATGGATCTCAGCTTTGTTATTGCATAATAATTTTGAGAGGCTTCATGTTTCATATCGAGAACATGGCATGCGAAAGTTGGAACTTCCGTGCTATTTTCACACTTGTGATTCTTTAACAGAAGTGAGATTATGCCGTTTCAATCTCAAATTTCCTCCCATTGTTTGTTTGCCAAAGCTCAGAATCTTGCATCTTCGTAAAATTGGATTTCTTAATCGCAATCTTTCATCTTCTTTGAGCCAGTTAGTGTTGTCCTTCCCAGTTCTTGAATCTTTTCACTTGGAAGATTATAAAGGGCTGGATAAAGTAAAGACATTGAAGATAGATGCTCATTTGCTTGCCAACTTCCTGATGTTATCTAACCATTGCAGCACACAAATTAGAACAAATGGTGTAGCCAAGTTGAAAAAGTTTAAATGTAGTGGTCTTCTATTTCACAAGTTTGTTTGGTCAAGTGCATCACCATCAGGGGCAGTTAATATCTCTATCAAGCATACAACTCAAGACAACATTCTTGTGTTGAGGAAATTCATTACTTTTCCAACCTTCAGATTGTTGCAAAAGCTTTCTGCTTCCGTTACAATTCTGGAACTCCCAGCCCATGTAGTTGAGGTCAATGAACAAACATCCTTATTTTATTCTTGCTGGTAAACTAAACCAAGCCTAGAAGTATTTATTTATTTATTTATTAGTTTTATTGGAGTTAGGTTTTTAGTAGTTGTTTGATTTAGAAATTTGTGTTTTATGTGGCAATTTCTTATGCAAGTGATTTCTTTTCCAACAAGTCTGGTAGGTTATAAATAGGGCATTAGTTTAGACTATTTTCTTAAGAGAGTTTAGAAGAATTTGTTAGGTTTTCTATTGTGGTGTGATTTTTTTCATTGTTTGAGATTTCAATAACATTGTGAGTTAATTATTTTTTTCTCTTCCACATATATTTTGAGTGTTTGTTTTATCCCTTCAATTTTGTAACCCTGTATGCATTTATTATTATTAGAACCCTAAAATTGGGGTTCTACAATTGGCATCAGAGCCAGACTACGAGGTTAGTTCTAGGAGTTTCCGCTGTCAGAGAATTAGGGCAAAAAGTTGCCGAAAAGTATTCAATTAATTGAGTTTGACTGCAAAGTTGGTTCTGAAGTGTGTAGTTGGTGAAGAATCCAACCATAAGATTGGTCCAAAATTTGTTAGATTGCTGCAGGTGAAGACAAAGATCAGAGAAGAATCTTGTAAGATTTATTGATTGTTGTGGGTTATCAAATTGAAGGATTTGATTTCTCAATCAACCAGAGAGGCTAGGAAAACCTGATAGAAGGGAGAGAAAATTTATTCAGGTATATGAAATATTAAATAATGGAATATTATACAGATTTGATTGATGGTGAAAAATTTTCATATTGACTCCCATAAGTACAAATAGACATACATATTTTGGCTGGGTTTTAATAGTGGAAAAATATCTCAAACAATATAATTTGGATGATATTCTTTGTTGGGTTGATGCAAGTGAGTTGCCAAAACATGTTTTTTAAGAAGAAGGCACGATTATTTTTTTCAAGTGATGCGTAAAATGATGGCAGAATGTATTTATAAAACTTTTGTTCGTTGTACTAAAATACCTTGGAGATTTTGGAAGGATATTTACTATATTTTTGCAAACGATTGAGGAGAATTATGCTTTCAAACCGAAGTTTGGTTGTTGGAGATGGTTTGTGAATTTTGAGAATGATAGATTTGTTGATAATATGGGTGATATTGAAAATTTTGAATCAGTTGATAGTTTTGATTTGCATATTTTGTTTGAAGAAATTGGGAGTGATGAATTTGTTGAAGAAAAAGAACGCAATAATCTGGTAAAGGAAGAAAAGAAGTCTGATTTGGTATGTGAAGAAAAAGAAATTATTATTGAAAAAATCATTGGTTTGAATTTTCCTCAAGATGATGGAAAGATATTTGATTTGATAGATATGGATTTCATTGAAATTCAAAAAAATTTTGCTCCAAAAGAGTTGATTGACAATATGAAATTTTTGGATAATTATGGTAGTGGATATTTTGAATTATTTGGTGATGATAATTTTGGTAAGAGAGCAATCTATGATTTTGTATTTTTAGGCACTTACATTGGTCGTAAATATGGTGATTTTGGTGATGAATGGATTTGTATGAATGAGTACTTTGATCAAGGAGAAATTATTGAAAAATTATTTGTAAAATACAAAATGCGCCCACAAACACGTGTAAAGATGAAGTTCATAACCAGCAACAAGATGAAGTTGCATGTCAGCTATACAGCAACAGAAATTTGCATAGAAATTGTTGCTCGAGATGGTGTTGGGCCTGCCTCAATGGAGAGTTTAGTTTAAGGGAGGCAATGCTGGCAAACTAAACCAAGTCTAGAAGTATTTATTTATTTATTTGTTTGTTTTATTGGAGTTAGGTTTTTAGTAGTTGTATGATTTAGGAATTTGTGTTTTATTTGGCAATTTCTTATGCAAGTGGTTTCTTTTTCAACAAGTCTGGTAGGTTATAAATAGGGCATTAGTTTAGACTATTTTCTTAAGAGAGTCTAGAAGAATTTATTAGGTTTTCTATTGTGGTGTGACTTTCTTCATTGTTTGAGATTTTAATAATATTGTGAGTTAATTATTTTCTTTTCCCCCACATATATTTTGAGTGTTTGTTTTCTTCCTTCAATTTTGTAACCCTGCATGCATTTATTATTATTAGAACCCTAAAATTGGGGTTCTACAATACTCATGAAAAGTTTGTCAGTCAAACTAAGTGTGATTGGTTATTTGGCTTAATTCTGTTAATTTAGGTAAATTTTTCCTCCAGTTGAAGTTATTTGTCCTGAAACACATTTTTTTATGTTAACTTCTCTTTCTTGGCAGTTTGAGTGAATTGATACTAGATGCTAATTTTTTAGAATTAATCTTGTACATATTGATAGTGTATACACTATAAGGTATGGATGCACGCTATACATGCAAGGATTGAAGTTGAAATTCAAACCAAAATTAGGTAGCATGCATCATACCCTACCCTCTAGTGTATTATGCATTGTCAATATATATAAGATTAATCTAGTTACTTAATGTAGATTGTGCCGTCAAATTAGTCTCAATTATATGTAACTAAGCAAATTTAGTTCAATGGCTATGGCATTTATTTGCTAACTAGACCAAGCGGTATGTTGTAGAAGTCTAGGGACTGATGGTCACAAATAGTATAGTAAACTACCAGTTGTTAACATCCTAATTATACTTTGAGGCTGCAAAGAAGAATCAACCTATCTTTTACCTAATTGGTTGGGTGTATTTGAGGCCTCACATTACCAGATTCCACAGAGATTGAAGGTGGCTGCTAAATTTGCAGCCTGAAAGATTATTGATTAGACTTTTAATTTCTTACCAATGATGAGTCTTGAACTGATACTTGAATGATTTCCTCCCTCATTCCTCCCTATCCTAAAGGGACTTGCATACGCAGAACCCACATTTGCTCTTCCAGTCTTCAATAAGCTGCTCGTCCTTAAAGTATCTGGAGAATATTTCAATGACAACATTAACGTAGCCCTAATGGGCTTAGCAAAGATGGCGACAACAAGGTAAATGAAGAAACAACAAAATTTTGGAAGCTTTATGTGCATTTTTCCATTTAGTTATGTAGTGTTTGAAAACTGCTATTTTTATACAAATTGGAATTCCTTTTTTTTTTTTCCTTCTTTTTGTTACAGTTTAGGAGATCGGCTGGCAACAATCAAGCAACTGAATCCTTGCCCACACATGCTTTACCATGTTTGAGACAAGTGATATTTGGAAGATTTAGCTGGGATGATCTAGCATTAGTGAAATGTCTGCTGAAAAGTGCATTGGTTCTTCAAGAGTTGGCAGTTGTTACAAAGCATTTGGGAGATGCAAAGTCTGAGATTGAAAATCAGCTGTCCATGTTGATGTTTCACAAAGTTTCCAGTAATTTATCTATCAAGCTTGTTTCACAAAGTTTCCAGTAATTTATCTATCAAGCTTGTTTCAAAATATTGATAAATTGTGCAAAGGTCGCAATTGGATGTTTATTCAAAAGAGAGCACAATTTCAAGTCATTTTATAAAAAGTGTTTGTACAAATTCTTATTGAAATGAAAATCCCAATTAGCATCAAAATGTATACTCATAAAAATTAGCGCAAGTTCTCCTTGTAGTAAAGGATTTCATCTTCCACCCTTTTTATGAATCGAATCTAAGCTAATATGCCTAATTTACAAAATACTTGCAACCCTTTATGTCAGTCCATAAACTTCAACCATAAATAATTGCAGGGATTTATGCTGGAGAGCCAAAAACACTCACAAGGAGTAGTCCCTAAAAATTAAGAATCTAGTAGACGCCTAATCTAGATTAAGTGCTCTCTGGTAGACCAATTGAGTCTAAATTATTAAATATAACTTCAACCATGAGGCACACGGAAGATCTCTAGTAATTGAGATTCTAATAAGAAGTTTAATTGTAACATGTTGGTGATAAATGACGATAACCAGACACGAACATATTTGGTTGGTAGCTGATGTTATTTTGAAACTTTCCAAAACGGATTGCGGTTATAAAATGGCATCATCTTGATTCTGTCTCGTTGGAAACAAGGTGCCTGTTGTCGATTATTGCACCTTCAAGGTTCTTGCTTCACGTACGTTGGTTTCCAAGAAATTGTAATACAATCAAGATGCTGATGAGTAAGAAGGCAAATTATGCTGCTCGATTCTGAACTTATTTAGGTTTCCACGGCTGCAGAGAAGGTGGCATTGATGTCATGGCATGCGCTTTGCTGCCTACAACCAGCATACTGGTTACTTCAACGAAAAAGCAAGGCAGCCTTTCCCGGGTGTGCTCGAGCAAAGATTTCTTTGCTAGAAGAAGATTAAAAAGATCATATTCCAGCAATCACCTCTGTTACTCGGTCAATCCTCGATCATTCTTATTTGATCTGTTAACTGGCAAAAATCTCCATGGAAGAGAACATGGTGGAAAGAGACCAAGGCAGTGAGATCAACGTTAAAGACGAGCTGAAGAGTGCAAACTGGGTTGAAAGCATAACCAAACTTGTGCGCCAGTGGAAACAGAAGCAACTAAAGAATGATGAATATGGCAAACAAGACAATGATGATGGTGATGAAGATGGAGCTGGGGACTTATGTAAAGCAGAATACGATGATGATGCAGCTGATGGCAGTGCGAAGAAAAAAGCTGGATACTTCTTGAGGCTGTTGAGTCCTGTGCCCTGGTCAGACACCAAGCTTTTCTCTAAGTTGGCTTTCCTGTGCAACATGGCTTGTGTGATCCCAGAGATTAAAGTACGTTTATCAAATACTTGATACACTTCCTACTACGATGAGAACTCTCCTTGACGGAACCAAGAAACATAGTTTATGTGGGATGCACCAACAAAATCCCTGTATCGTCTGAACAAAGGAGGAGAATGATTCACCTGTATACTCTCCATTTTGGTCCACTATTCCAAGGTTATACATTCACCACGTTCACTTCAAGAGCTACATCCTGGACATTATTTCAGATCAATTGACGACGTGAACCAAATTGTGAGCAGGCTGAGGATGTAAGGAGATACTATGGCTTAAAATTTGTAACTTCTTCTCTAGCAAAGAAGGCAAATGCATCAGCTGTGAAAACCAAACTTGATCAGAATTCCAGTCTTGTACCTCTGGCGGCATCATCAATCTGCAGAATCAGGTACCCAGAAAAAGGAGAATTCTAGGCATAAGCGCTTACATCACTCATCAGTTGCATATGAGCTTGTTGCTTCTGCTGCATCTAATGTCCAAGCTCTTGTCAAAGACTATCAATTGGTTCTGGATCCCAGCTGCAGATCAATAATGCAGTTCTACATGCCAAAGGAAAACACCAAAGAAGATGTAGTGGGAACTCCACGAGTACACAAATCAGATACAGCTGCATATCTAGCATCATCAGCAGCGATTGCAGCAGATGCAAAGCAAAATCGTGAGGCAGCAATGGATCTTGAATCACATCATTCCTCAGCTTCTGAAGGGTTTGTTTGTGATGACTCAGAGATATATACACGCTGCTTTGTTATCCATGTAACAATTCAAGCAATCCGATATTACATCGTCACAGTCCCAAGATAGATATGTTGTCAAGAAACTACAATATCATACTGACCAATTAGTTATCTGTGTCAAGAGGAAGCTCAATAGCTTCAACTGCTCAGTTAGAGAGGATTCTGCATATCTTTACACACTTCTTGTGAACCGCAGAGTTCAGACTCCTTTTCGTCATGGCAGGCAAATCTCTTCTTTGAACACTATGTTTGTGTTATATATCCTAAACCTATACAGATGTTATCTGGGAAGAAGTGTGACTATTTTCCATCAAGGGTATTGAAACTTCTCAGTCTAACTTCCTGTTACAGGGAACAGATGTGTTGGTTCACAGGGGAATCTATGACGAGTCAATGGGGTTGTATGAGCAACTCATGCCAGAAATTATCCAGCATCTAGAAAGAATTGGTAATCAAACCAAGCTTCAACTTACAGGCCATTCTCTTGGAGGTAGCCTTTCCCTTCTAGTCAGTCTCATGCCACTAACAAGGAAAGTTGTTAAACCCTCTGCTCTTCTACCAGTTGTCACTTTTGGATACCAAAAGGTCCTTGACCAACTCGGCTTGGACGAAAATAATGTTCATTGTGTGGTGATGCATAAAGACATTATTCCAAGAGCATTCTCTTGCAACTATCCAAAGCATGTGGTACAAGTCCTTGAGTGCTTCAATACTACCTTTTGTTCAAATCCTCTTCTAAATAAAAATGTATCCCTCTCATAATCAAGAAAGGAGACTGTTAACACTTCTTATTCCTAAAGAAACCAGTTAAAGGAAGTACTACATTTAGACGTAAATAAAAATTTCACTACCAGATTTAAAAAGCAAAGGATTAAATTATGTAGAAGTAATGTAGTACAAATATGACTAACAGGCCCAATGTCTTCAATCCTGACTTTTTTATTCCATCCCCCTGTACTGACAATATTTTTCTTCCTTGGGGCGCAGAAGCAGTTGTACTCTTCCATGGGTAAAATATTTATCCTCCAACAAGATGAGATATCATCCCCTGCGCATCCTTCCTTCCCCTCAGGCAGTGCTCTATATGAATTGGAAAACGCCCATGGTGCCACTACAGCAGGTGCTCATATCCGGTGGAAACCCTTAGTGACCCTACAGCATATGGTTCTGAAGGTTCGATTTTTAGGGACCAGGATCTAGCAACTATCTGAAGGCAGTGAATAAGGTTGTTAGACAACACACAACGCAAAATATAAGGAAAGCAAAAGAGAAAATCAACCTATTGTGGCCCCTCTTAACTTCAGAATCTCCCCATGCATGAAGCGATGACTGACTTTTTGGAAGAGATATTAGCACTAAAGGATATAATGACTGGTATCTAAGTGTTTTGACGACCTGATGTTGTAAACAGATGTTCACAAGAGCTTGAATTGGAACTCATAATTGTGCATATTACGAATTATCTTGTATACGCTCAAAGTTAGTATCACTAACACCCTTTATCCCATGTTAATACCAGTTAAAGAGATGTTACTTCATAGTACACCTGCACCAAGAGTTTATACCCCCGTGGCTTTCCTCATTAGTGACCAAAGCTACAAAGAAAGTGCAAAAAATCAAGATTTTTGAACTTACATAGATGTATAAGGTTTTCTTAAAAGATCAAGGGAGCCAAAATTACCATATCCCTTGCAAATTATGTGATTTTCTTGTCAACCAAGCTAAAGATGCATAAAATCCCATCCCAATTCAAGAAATGCTATCACAAAACTCAATTATCCAACCAAAGAGAGTATTTCACATGAAAAATGCATAATTAACCATGATACAACTAGAACAGAACTAAATTCAATCCTTGCAAACTCAAACTACAAAAGAAAGATATAAAAAGGAAGCACAAGACTGAAGTTAAACAATCAAGAAACCAAACTGAGCATCAGAAGCAAAAATCTTTTCTTTTCCAGCAAATGCTAAAAAGCACCTTCAACGACAAAAATTTTATTTAAGGATAGCATCTTGTGAGAGAATAATGCAATCCCTTTACAAGTAAAAGCCAAAACATGAAACATTTTATTTTACTGGGAAGTACGTGACTGCTAGTGTAATATGAATTAAGAGAAAAAAAAGAAAAAGCCAAAATAGGGATTACAATATGGACAGGGGCTCTAATATGTTGTATGCGTAACAAAAGAGGAAGAGCGCTGATGCTCTGTGGGTGCTATGTATGTAACATCTTTGGTTTATGAGAAGTTGAGAGCCAATTATTGGGTTTTTTCAGTGAAGTTGCGAGAGAGAGAGAGAGAGAGATTGGAAGGTCAGAAATGCAGAGTCTTAACTTGTAAGTGGCTCAAAGGAAGGCCTTTATCTACTAATAGCAATATTAGTGTCAGGCAATGAAATTCAATTCAATCGAGGGACACAAGACTCCACTGACTGTCCAACCAACGAGAGTAGAAATATGAAGGGCCTGATGCTACTTCCCTTGCCCACTCCTTGCCCCTTCCACTTTTGTAGTTGACATTATTCTTTTGTAAAGAATCTTATATCTGTTCCCAATGCAAGGTTTCATGCGTGTTGGTATTTGCCTAGATTTTTGTTTCCCCCTTTTTCAGTACTCAGATGGAAAGGTGGGTCTTAGGTACCTATACACTCCTTAGCAGAGAAAATTGTGCCTATGTAACAATACTGTTAATGTGTCTATATCTTCTACAGCCAACCTTCGGATGCTATCCACCCTGTACTAACAAAAATTCTTTTTTTCGGTGTAAAAACTGCTATACTAGCCCAAGGTGAATGGTCATCGTCTTACAAATGATTAGCATCACCTGTGGATCACAAATGAAAACGCACACAACCAAGCTGAATGGTGATCGTCTTGCAAAAGCATCAGCATCACATGCACATTCAAGTCAATGGTATTCGTCTTATAATATATACACATTACTCAGCATAAATGCTGTAGAGTTTTGTAAAATGCCCTTACCATAAAAGATGTGTAAATTGGCCAAAGTTGTACTATCTGATCAAAAAAGAACTTACACTAGAACAGAAAATAATCATAGCATATATAGGATTAGATCATGATGCACAAGGCAAATGGCTCAGACACATCATTTCCCTTCAGCTGACATTCTCTTGCGTATCTCAAATGCTGTGTTGAATATCCCCATGGTTGGCTGGTTGCACACGAAGCACTTCTTGTTTCTTGCATGATGCTGTCAGCCATAAGGATTGTAATCAATAACATATTCAAAGTTAATCAAAGTAACTCTTCACATATTGTATTCATGAAAAGAAAAAGCAGGGATGCAAAGTCTTTATACTATGGTGGCCAAATGTAACACATATCTCAGCTAACTCTCAAGCCAAAGGGAAGATACTGCAGAATGACAAGAAGTTGGAAGAACAAAATTAAAAGGCGGATTTTCACATATGAAGAAATTATGAATACATTTAAGCTCCAAAGCATGATAAGTAACACAAATGCTAACAATAATGATATGTAAAATATTTTCCAATAAATGAGAATTTTGCTTCATACTCAACATTTTCATATATCAAATAGAAGGGAGAAGGGGGCGAGAAAATAGAAGAATTACAATGACAACTTGGAACTTAATCTCTTTTCCCAATTTGAAGTAAATAAATTTTCTCCCATCAACACTACTGATGTCATCCTATTTTAAATGAAGAAAGATATCTCCATCTGATTGATGATAAACATTAAGCCCAAAAATGAAACTGCCATAACAACCATGATCTTAATAAGAGTTTCAAAGTTCTCCCACAATCTTAAAACACGTCTAAACACTTTCCAAGCCAAAAGTTGGGGATATTAGAAAAAGAAAATCAAACAAGACAATCATTTGTAAGCTCCAAGTTGATTTGAACTTTAAGGCAACATAATCATTTAAAATTGTGTCAAACCAGGCATATAAGTTCTGTGCAAAAAATTCAAGTAATCTGGCCCAGATGAAAGAAATAGATTAATAACCAGTATTACCTTTAATGCACAATGCTCGCAGAAGTAGTGCTTGCACTTGGTCACCACAGGATCCACAAAAGGTTGCCTACAAATGAAACAAGCAAAGGGCAAGGCATCATCTTCATCTTCATCACTCTTCTCAGCAGTATCCTCATCCGCATTATCAATTCCCAAAGCCAAATTCCTTTTCCTGATCTTCTCTGCTTCATCCCACTCCTTCTCTAGTTGCCATCCTGATTTATAATCACCGCGGTCATGCATAAACTTGCATGCATCCCCATATCCACAATAACCTGTCTCTTTATAATCCTTGCAGATATCTGGCTGATAGTCAAACCTTGCTGATACTCTAATGTGGGCAGATGCTCGAAGAGGTCCATGTGAACCACCAGCTTTCTCACCAGAGACAGTATGCTCTCTTCGAAACCCAGCTTTGTAATCTGTGTATCCATGCATTCCTTTATATACTTTTTCATCACTAGTACCTTTTCCTTGCAATGCCTCCTCTGCTTGCTTGAGAACTCTCTCCCTGATTGCCCGAGCATCTCTTGAGAACTCGGTCTCAGTTTCTAATGTTGCTGTTGCTCTACTATCATTATGAACCTGAATCTCCTTAGAAGATTCAAAATGAAAAAATGGGGTTTTTGAGTCTGCATTAGTTTCTGCCTCGATAGAACGCTTGGAGGATCCAGTAGAGAAGTGCAATTTGTTGTCAGCTGCTGCTGGCTTCTTCTTATTAAAAATCACGGAGCTTTCATCCTTTGAATCTTCATCAGCATTATCTTCGTCAACAGCAGGGCGTTTTCTAATATTTTTACCTTTGGATGGCTTTTTAAAGAAATTACAAACTGCAAACACATAAAAAATAACTCAGTTTAATGTCATGGCAGAGAAACCAATAGTAGAACCATCCAAGAAAGCAAAAACAATTTCTTTTAAATGATAAAAAGAAAAGGACATGAGGAAAAAATTAGAAACAAAAAAGAGGCAGCATTACTGCTAATACCTGGATGACCACCGATCAGTATTGTAGGTAAAAATCGTTTCAATAGACCAAATCATAACTAAATAACAAGCCATCAGCATTTGGCTTTCAGATAGAACTTCTTTGTTGGACAACAAGGTTAAAAGGATGAACTGGTAAAGGGGAAAGGGAAGGGGAATGTGAGAGTTAAGAACTGGTTTGAACAACGACTTATTTACTCCTACTTTTAGAATTCATTATTCTCATTTTTCAAAAAGTATTTAAAGAAAAGAGAAAAAGAAGAAAATGAGAATCCCACAACAATCACAAAGCTGCAAAAAATGCATTTTTAGCCTACAACTCTAATCAGCAGTAACTTTCTTTGAAGCTCAACACCCTATATACTGAACATCTTCTACTATCTTTATGTTACTCCCTATAATCCAAACACTAGAAATTAGGGACATGAGAGAAAGAAAGTAAAGTATAAGAAATACAAATTCCCAACATTAAAATAGAAACAGAAAACAGAACTACTAGTTACAATTTAGATGGGCAAAAGAAAAGAAAAAAGGAAAGGAAAACCGAACCTTCTTGTTTTTGTTGTGGAGCTTCGCCAGAGTCTGCCATTTTACACTTGACCCAAACAGTGTGAGCTGGATAGCCCAGAACACGGATACCAAATCCCGCGCTGATTCAGGCCTAGAATAAAAGAACATAGCATTGTGAAATAAAAAACTAATCTTTAATATTATGAAAAAATAACATATATGATTGAAGGACTTCAACCTCTAGTTTCACATTCAGGTGACAACAAAGAAGTCAGCAATATACACTCTGAACCATAATCTGTGTTTCATGACAAAGTTGATTGATTCCACAAACTTACAATCTACTATGGGAAATCATGAGATGTTCACTTTCTCTTTTAGCTATCTTCCTTTATAGTCAAAGATAAAATCAACAAGAATAACAAAATAACAAACTTACTAACAACGCTTAACTCATTCAACTGATTTCACCAATCAGCACAAAAGCTCTTCACATCTGGCTTAATCTACCATCAGAAAATCAAGACAAAATCTGCCAGTAGCCCACTTATGCCCCTAACTAGAAGTGCTAAAAGACACTAACCTAAACACAAATGAAAAGTTCTTCTTCTCATATATTTCGCACCTCTTAATCAGACACACAAAGCCCTTCATCCCATATTGGGAAGATGCGGTTAACACTATTTATTGCCTGATAATACTACAGGATGTGGGCTATTGATACATAGTCATTAATACTGACACAATGATTCGGGGTATAAACGAGCCAAATCAAGCAAAACACTCTAGATTCAAGCTTGTTTGTCTATTTTAACAAACTTGAAATTGTAATTGGGTTCAAACTTAGCTTGTTTAAAAATCAAGCAAAACTTGAAAATCTTTTATAGAGCCGAGCTCAAGTGGCTTGAACACTTTTTATCAAGAAATTAGAACAATATTAAGCAATACCAAGACAACAAGGCTTAAATCCAAAATTTCTCTCCTATGAACAGCAGTTTCTCATCTAAACTGAAGCCAGAATCAGAAGCACTTACCGTTACTGTTGAATATGCCTGGTGTGCTAAAAAGCTTGTTTGTCTATTTTAACAAACTTGAAATTGTAATTGGGTTCAAACGTAGCTTGTTTAAAAATCAAGCCAAACTTGAAAATCTTTTATAGAGCCGAGCTCAAGTGGCTTGAACACTTTTTATCAAGAAATTAGAACAATATTAAGCAATACCAAAACACCAAGGTTTAAATCCAAAATTTCTCTCCTAAGAACAGCAGTTTCTCATCTAAACTGAAGCCAGGATCAGAAGCACTTACCGTTTTTGTTGAATATGCCTGGTGTGCTAAAAAGTTAGAGGGATGGGCCTTGTCTCCTCCTCCGCAGCCGCAGCCGCCGCCGCCGTCGACACCCACCAAAATCAGAGCTTGTATCTCCTCAGCCAATTTGCAAGAAAACCCAGAAAACTACTGCCTTGAACCTCTCTAAATTGCAGTTTTTTTTTTATTTGGGTTTTTCGAGCGGAGTCAGCGAAGAAAGGTGCTGAACGTTGAGGAGGAGAAATTTGGCGAAGAAAGAGGAGGAGAAGCAGGGATCAATTTTGGAGAAATGCCGCGAAATAGCCCTTGGGGGTTTTGAGATTTCGATTTTAGACCACAGTAAAATTAAGAATTACATGGAGGTTTCTAAAATATGATTTAGTTCACAAAAAAGTATGAAGATGTCGGTTGAGCCCTTAAAAGTTTAGCAAAGTGGTTAATTAAGGTAGGATCGGATTCAGATTAAAACCAGACCAGGGTAACTAATACATTGTCATGTGTGGAGACTTCGAATTTAATAAGT